CAGAAAGCTTGAAGCTCCAGTTAAAATAAAAACTAAACTAAAATCTAATTTACTTGTTTTACAAGGGAGAGGGTTTTATTGGACATCAAATTCCTTATTGCCTGAAACATTTTAAACCTTTAAAATTGTGTTTGTTCACATCTGAAAATAAACAGCCTGTAGAAAAAAGTTCATAAAAATGTTTGTTTGGATGCAGAGCAGGTGTGTGTCTGCTCTAAACCAGAGAAATCAGATCAGAAGTTCTTGTTTTATGTTTTTATCAAAAGGAGACGAAAACAATTCTGATGATCATTTTAAAACAGCAAACATGCAGCTGCAGCTTGTTTTAGTGTCTGTCCTGCTGGATCAAACAGAAACAGGTCTCAGAGCTCAGCTAAAGACCACAGCTCCTGATCTGGAAAAGGCTCTAGATCTAGTTTGGTCTAAAGCAAAGTTTCGTACCACCCGTTATTCCTGAAGAGCGTTTACAGTTATACAGAAAACACAGGAAGAGGAAGGAGATGAAACCAGATCAGAGTTTATTCATTCCTGCAGATTTTACAACAAATGTGTTATCATTAAAACTCTGCATGATTAAAAAACACAATTCATAACAGAAACAAACATCTTCAACTATTTTTTAATCAGCAGCAGCTTTTAAAAAGTATTCAGTCTGTGTGTGTGTGTGTGTGTGTGTGTGTGTGTGTGTGTGTGTGTGTGTGTGTGTGTGTGTGTGTGTGTGTGTGTGTGTGGCCTATAGCCTTGTTGAATGATGTTTGGGTGTGTGTTACACAGATGATAAATATATTTAAATGAATATTAAATCAAATAATTAAAAACAAAACTGAAAGAAAATAAAAAGAAAGAAAAAGGCAGCACTGATCAAAGCCCCGCCCCTTTTTCCTCTCACCTGAGAGGTACCTGTAAACAATACCACATTTTTATTTTTCGATCATTTTATCTTTAAATGTTTCTAGAAAAGTAGGATTAAATATTATGGGATGTCATAGAACATACGTGTGAAATGAGAAAACAAAACCGGTTCTGTTGAAACCCAGATGGAGGTTCCGAACCAAACTTGCGGTTTCTTTCGGGAACTCCAAATGGTTCCCGTTCTCTTCGACGTGTTTTTTTTATCTCGTCACGCGCTAAATATTTTTTCCGTTTCATTTTCTATCTGTTATTTATTGAAACCGTTTAGATGAAAAAAATAACAACGTCTAACATGTGTGCGGTTCCGGCCCGGTATCGGTTCTCGTTCTGTTACACTTCCTATGAGAACGCAAAGGTGGGTTTTGGTCCGGTTTTGTTTGTCAGCATCATGCGGACTCATAATGAGCTCACAGAACGTACATAACCCGAATCATGACGTCACTGAGATGCTGCTCCGGTCCTTCACCTGGAGCGGATTTTAATCCAGGTTTTTTTTCTGGGCGCGAGGCTATTTTGGATATGTAGATTAAAATCTTAGGAAGCTAAAATAAGCACGAATGAATAATTATAACTATTGTAAACTCACACAGGTTGGTTATTTTATGAAAGATGTTTTATATCGGGCTGTGTTCAGAACGTGTACAATACCCGGATGCTCATGTGTAATGTGTGTTCTGTTTCGTCTTGGAAACCAAAATTTCTGTTTTCATTCATCTTTGAATTGCTGAATATAGCCCATGCCTTTGCGTGCTTACCTGTACTGGTGTTTTCCGCTCCTCTAGCGTGTGCTGCCATAGGCTGTTAGCAGGATCAATAAGTCTGTTCTAAACGCGGCGCACATGTGTTTGAATTCGGTGGAATTTTTATATTTTCTAACATTCAAACTGATTTTAGTACAAAAACGTTAATTAAAAATAAAAGTTTGGTTTGGAGCTACATGAGACATGATCACAGGTGGAACCCGGAGGTTCTGCAGGCTCGAGTTTGATTCCAGCTAAATCCAGAAGAATCTAACTGTTTCTTTTATTTGGATTTGAACTCAGATCAGTTGGGAAGGTTTTACATGAAAGAAGTCCTGGGATAAAAACTTTTTTCTTGCCAAATAAAAGTAACACGCACGCGCCTGCTTCTGGACTCATTTTTGCTCTCAGAGGTTCTAAATGTGATCAGACCGTCCATGACTGATGTGGTGGCCTAATCAGTCCCCTCTGGGTTCCTGGGTTGGCACAGCGCCCTCACCTGGTACTCCACCTGTAGGTCAGTCAGTCACACCTCCATCTCCGAGGCCGTACCTCCCACTCGGAACCGTAACGGCTCTCTGGGCTGGCGGATCTGACTGGGTTCGTGACTCACTCCTAAAGAAATGAGCAAACCTGCTCCCTGAAAGCGCGCATCCTCCTCTCGCGCTGCGCCAAAGAGCGCGCGCGCCCAGGATGTGTGTGGAGGGGAGAAAACAGTTTTCCTTCCCATGAGTGAGAACTGATTTGTTTCATCAAGCAGAGTGAAGCGCGATCGGGGGGGTCGCTGGTGCCTGTGATAGGCGGAGTGGAAAGGGAGGAGAGGAGGAGGAGAGGCCACTGGTCGCCGGCTCTCCATGTGACAGGGGGAAATATGAGGGACTCTGACAGGTCTTAAACGGTCTGGCGCCAAGGCCTCCGTCTAGCCGCTAAATATAGCCGCAGAGATGATGCAGGGAGATGGAGGAGAAGATGGAGAGATGAAACGAAGATGGGAACAATGTCTGGGAGAGCAGGAACATAACAATACTCGATTATAGACCAATATGGCCCAAAACTGTCCGATTTTGTTGTAATTAGAGCGTCTCTGGTTCGGATCGTTGGATCACCGAGACGCTTTTTACGCACATTTCCTCCTCGCGCTGCCGCATCGAGCGGACTTTTCAAGGACAGCAGCGGACTACCGCTCCAGCCCGCATCACGCACGCGCTCCATTCTCTAAAAATCTGTGACTGTTCAGGTCTAAGATTTAAATCCAAAAGTGCTTCTTCTGCGTCAGCACCGAAAGTCACGTGATCACGATATGTGATCAATTAAGGCGCGCATCAGGGCATTTATTATTCTGTAGTCTCAACTCTTTAAACGTTTCCAGTGTTCTTCACACACACACACACACACACACACACACACACACACACACACACACACACACACACACACACACACACACACACACACACACACACACACACACACACACACACACACACACACACACACACGTTTAAGCAGCATTCTACTGCCTGCCCTCATTAATCCTCCGTCATGATGACTTTAAAATCGCGCCTAATGGAGGTTTCTGTAACTTTGAGGCCGCAGAACAAATAAACGGAGTCCAATTTGCTCCCAGATTGTTGATACAAAGTTCCAGCTGGTAGCAAACCCAAGTGCTCCTGTTTTATTCTGCTCGTTTACAACAATATTCCGAATTGGAGCCACTTGAATTTTCTGTCTTTTAATCTGAAGTTGCGTCACTTCGGTCAGGTGCGGGGCAAGGTGCACGCAAACACCTCAGGGCCTGTGAGGAACACTTTTAGCTCACACACACATTTTTTCTATAGAATGAAGCATCTTTATGGTTCTTGTGGTGGTTTTCCTGGGCAACATTTACTCCACAAGTTACCCCCCCCCCCCCCCCCAACACACACACACACACTCTCTCTCACTCTCTCTCTCTCTCTCTTGATCCTCCTTGGCTGGGACGCACGGCCGACCAGCATGTGGCAAAGCGGTGAAGGTGCAAACAGCTCAGGTGTTTAAATTCACTAACGCGCTCCCGGTGTGGCCCTACACATTTGGTTGATTTTGTTTTATTGTGAAATCTGTTTTATAAACGGACAAATTAAGCTGATCGTTTTTTGTTTGTTTTCTAATTTTAAAATAGCCCCGTGTGTTCATACTTCTGTGTGCGCTGTGAGCGGAAGCGCAGAGTTCTTGTGGTTCGTGGGAACCCGTTCTGACAGCTTCATCCAGAGGAACTCTCGCTTTTTGTTTCAGTTCTGGTCCAAGTGTCGCCCGTGGCCCGGCAGAACAGCTGTTTATCTAAAAAAAATAAAAGGAAAGAAAAGAACTCGCATCTGACACCGAGTCCTGGTGCAGGCAGAGGGAAGAGTAGAGCAAAGCCGCAGATGCGGGGCCCCGGGGGCCTGGGGGGGTCTGAGGGGGGGTTCGCACATGCAGCACTTCAGGGGAAATGTAAAGAGACAAGAGATTGTTCTGGTCGCAGCGCATCAGCCGACTGGCGCCGGACTGCTCTGGCACTAACAGAGACGAAGTTGGTCAGGGAGGGGTGGCCGGTTTGGGCCCCGTGCTCCCAGAGCCCCGCACCCTTCGGCTGGGTCCAAACCGGTCCTTGAGTCGGTGCCGCGCGGCCAGTTTTCAACTATTTCACCGAGACCGACCTTCTGATGTGGAACAAAAGCAGAAACATCAACAGAACGCGGAGCGCAAAACTACAAACGAATTATTAAAAATATAAACTTCTGCAGAATCTAAACACGAATTTATTTTGTCACATTAAAAACTCACTGCGTTCTTCCGGCAGAATTTCTCTGATTTTATTTGTCTCTCATTTGTTTCCGTTTTTCTTTTCTTTTTCTGCGCAGCTTCAGTCTTTTCCAGCCGTCAGAGGCGTTTCCCGTCTCAGGAA